AATCATTCTGGCCAAATGGACTTGGCCCGCCCGAACCCATTAACACAATCATTTTGACCAGGTGGACTTGGGATACAGCCCACTCCCGACGCATAACCCATTGACCCGTTAACTCATTGACCTGATGGTTTGCCCAAGTGGGAATGGAACCTACTCCCGAGTGCATTTGGCCAGAATGACAGGGTTAATGGGTTAACGGAGTGGGGCTACCGAGGTGTTTCGAAACAGACCAGGACGCGCGCAACGCAGGACGCCCTGCGTACAACGCAAGAAACACACGACCTTCTGCAGGGTTGGAAAACTACTTACCTATATATACAGAGAGAGAGAGAGAGCTATATATATATATGTAAATGTGTGTATTATATATATATATAGATAGATATATGAGCGCACAGTCCGCTAGGGCAGGCACATAAACAGACAGGCAGAAGTATTGGTTCCTATTCCTCTGTCTATCCGATTCCTAGTCTTTGTCACTCAGTCCGCTGTCGAGGCTGCCAGCGGCTTTTGTCTACAGCAGGCATATAGGGTGGTACGCCCAAAACCATCGATCACGGCTTCGCTGAGCAGCACGCCAGAAAAGGCTAAAATGCAAGCCGCAGACTCAAGCCAAAAAGTGCCTAATCCCCAAGAAGTCGCAGCCCTAATGGAGCAGAAGGGCGATGTGAAGGAGCGAGCTGCCACAGGAGGCCGCCCAAAACCTCGGCCTCGAGCGGCGGTGGGGTTGCCCCCCACGTGCCCTAAATCGCTGGTGTCGTGTCTATCACTCCGAATCAGCACACATTTAACAGTCGCAGGAAAAATGGCAAGAGCACCGATGACAGTGAAAAGTCACTATGTACCAGACATCAAGCATCGAGCATGACGGCGTGTTAACAAGCGTACGAACAACAAACGCAGAAAGGGCATGAAGAAAAGCTGGTCACTGGTACAGTATACTACAGCAACAGTTACTAGCTGCAGTACATCTTGGCTGTCACAGGAGGGCACTGACCAACAAAAACCATGTGCAGCAGTCAGTCCTACAGATTTGGGCAGAGGCATCACGAGCAAAACATATCTGTGGACACTTAATTCGGTTTCGGCTTGCTTTCTAGGTGCATACGCATGTGATGTAAACGTGGTCTCTTCCTGGCCGCTTGTCACTTGTCCGGTTTGGCGTGACACCCTCGCCCGACTGTGCAGAAACGTCGCCTTCTGGAGCTCACTGTACTTCGACCACAGTTGCGGCCACCACTGGTCTGGACCTGAGGAGGGGGGGAACGAGAGACGTGTACCTTGCGACCTCGCACACTGCACACCAGTGCTTAAGCCCTTCGCTGCGAAGGCGATTTTCGTGTGTGGCGAGGCCCGACACCTTCGGAAGACCACTTGAGCTGTCAACAGGCCGAATGTCCAGGTAGGCAGCTTTGACTAATTAGCGTAACCCTGAAGGATCTATTTGTCAATGGAAGGCATCAGCTGCAATCAGCCGTCTCTAATTGCACGATGCCGGTCCATCTGCCGGTCTCGTCCAAAGTACAGAATGCAAGCGTATACACTGCCCTGACTGGTTACTTATTGTGTGTGTGTTGGTGCGCATCGCCTAGGCCTGGCAGATTCCATTATTCTGAGTAATTCCGACGTCCCGATTGCACGCGCACGGGCTTTTCGCCGATAACATCTGCGCACGGCAAGCTGCGCAAGCTCACGCAAACGCAGGGCAATGAAGGAGCAGCGCCAGCAACAAACATCAAGGCCGTGGAGACGTCTGGAATGGTTAGCTGTTGCTTTATAGTCAGGCTTACTACTCTAATATATAGCACAAACACGTGGCTGGCGCTGCGCACCATTGCAAGGACTGGGCTCTGGCTCTCTTTGAGAGTGTCAGATTGAAACCCCCGCTCGGGTACGCTCACCGTTTGGGCTGCAGCTATTAGTCACTCAATGTCAGTCACAAACCCATTAACTCTGGCCAAAGCTTTCTCAAGCTTCTTGTGGTGGAGTATCGACCGGAGGCATGTCTGTTGTGAATTACGGCACGAAACCAGCTTTCCGTTAGAACCACTTTGCAAATACCTGCCTGCCTCTGCCACCCCACTTCAGCACATGCAAGAGGATCCTGTGACTCAACGTGAAGTCGGCATCATCACCCCCAAGCAACATCAGATCTCAGATCTAGCCGTCTGGCATCGTCTGGCTTTCATGGGCCTTGTCAGTCACCTGGCTGTGAGGTAGGCACCTTGCAGCGACTGCACGACTTTAAAGTTCAGCACCTTGGAAACAGTTCAGCTTGGGCGATGCAAGCAGACTTACAGGCTAGCCGCAGGGAGGAGAAACCAGACCGCTGTCTCTCTGCCTGTTCTCTTTCTCGCGGCATGAAGGGTTACTTTGCTCAGGCTTTCAATGTGGCCCGCGCATTGCATTGCCCCATCCAGCTTTTTCTGTCGAATGGGCTTGGCTGTACGGATCGGTGGACCAGGGAAAAGATCGGGTGCTCGTCTTCAAACACCAGATCACTGCTGAACACACTGGATCGGGGGGCATGATTCCGGTTCGCTAGCTGCAGTCTATAGCCGATACAAAGCATCGCTGAGCAGCCAACATCATGCCCTTGCTCCTTGCCTTTCGCCTGTCTCCAACAGAATTGCCTCTCCGCATTCCTCTGTTGAACCGAAAATCACCCATCACAGCCCATTTGCCTCCGTCAGCAATGCCGGTTGCACCTTGGAGGAGCCGCCATTGCCAGGTAGTGCCACGATGTTCGTGGAGTTCTGCTGGGCCACCTCGGACAGGTATGAGTCTTGCGGATAGCTGCTGGCTAGCTGGCTAGCTATATAGGTCATTAGATAGGCAGATACATAATAGACAGATAGACTTAGATAGATAGATAGATAGATAGATAAGTTTTCTACAAAGCTGCTCAAGGTGCTACAAGTAGCAAAGACTAGGACCAGGACGGTTGAAGCAGTGCAGTCTGTGCAAGAATCAACTTCTGCGTTCTGCGGGTTGCGGTCACCAGGCCTGATGTGTGGCTGATGTGTGGGAGCTGAATAGGTCATTGATTAACACTGCCATGTGCTTCTGTGCAATGTCGCACGCCTGCAAGCTCCAAGGTCTGAAGAGGCCCCTGGATGGAAATTTATTTAGGCCTCACGCCTCGCATTTTCTGCGGCCTAGGAGCACGATCTGCCAAAGACGAGAGTTTCCGCAACTGTCCTTGGATCGGGATGAGCCCTAGTCGAAGACACTCTTAATCCAAGCCGAGCAGGGAGGACGTGACCCGCGAGCATGTGCAAGCTTTGGAATGACCCTCGAGACCTGAGTCGGGAAGATGCACTAAGGATCAATGCCAAGGCACGCCCGGCCTTTGACACATTGGGCACGGAGGAGCTCCGAGGCTGAATCTCGGAAGAAGGATCTCTTCGTCAAGTCTCGTTTGCATGGAACGACGCAGAACCAATATGCAATATTTGCAGGGACAGACGTTGAGTTCTTCCCAACATCCGAACAACATCGTGTCTGATTCGATTCTAGTCTCTTGGTTACGAACCAAAGTTGGTGATGGTGTAGCGGTAACGACACTAAAATGCGAAGGGACGGGACTCGTGAGGCCTCGTCTGATCTGAAAGGGCACGTCATCTAGATGATCATAATCGCTCGCCATCTCCCGGGGCCTCTAGGCTCATCCGACAATCAAGTCACAAGCCCCAAAATCAAACCCCGTCATCTTTCTCACACCCTGAGCCATCGATACCGTGGCGTGTCATTCTTGCACAGGGGCCATGCACTCTGCACATCCCACGGCTCACCTGCACTCCTCCTCGTCAAATCTTCGCTCGACGAGGATTGGGCGTCCCTAAGGGTGTGCCCACTTTAGCAAAAGCATGCATCCATCCAAAGCCGGACTATTCCTTAGACCAAGGACGGCAATTATGGCTCGACACGCACAGAACCCATTTCCAGGACCAGTGCTTTGAGCTCACACAACATTAAGCTTCTCTCTTGAGCTTTCCAGCTTGTTCTTCGACAACGTTTTTGTCAAACCGTCAGCCGGAATCAACTCTCCACACATATGCAGCATCGGAATTTGGTCATTTCGAAGATGATCTCTAAGGTACGAGCAGCGCATGCCAAAATGGCGCGTGCGGGTGGGCTGCACGTATTCGGATCCCTTAGTCAAGTTGCTAACGCAGGCAGAGTTGTCCCCGAAGAGCTCCGTCTCCACGCCCTTTTGCAGAAACTTGTCCAAGAAAGTCTTCACCTGCGTTCCGAGCTGATACGCTGTAGCTGCTGCTTCTACCTCGGCCTCGAAAGCAGAGAATGCAGTCAAAGATTGGCGCTGAGTGCGATAAGCGAGGACATGACCGCCGAACTTCACGACCACACCCGTCCGTGACCTCGATGCCCCTGGTGCCAGTGAGGCATCACCGAACACCGAAAGCTTTGCTTCCTGAAGATCCCCACCGGCCTTAAAGAAGAGCACCTTGTCCCTAGTGCCCGCCAAGTATCGCCATACTTGGGTTGCCAGCTTATACGTCTTCCTCGGATCCACTGTGCTCATACACGACAATGCCCCCACTGTTGCCAGCAGGTCTGGTCTTGTTCGCAGCCCCACCCAAAACAAAGACCCAACCTCAGACTGCGCGCGATGCAAATCCGCAGCGTAAGCATCATCGCGAGGTGCCGGTTCCGTTTGTCCTTCTACCACCTCTGGAAGATTGGCAGCTCCCCTGACCATTGTCCAGCCGCGTCGTTCCAACTCCGTTTCGATCCAGGGATGCTGATGCAGCGCCACACCTTCTTCAGTTCGCTTTATCACCATTCCCAGAAACTGCAACTCTTGCCGAACCGGAACCTTTTTGTCTCCCACTTGGACCGTTGTTCCAACCTTCAACTCCTCGCTCGGCAGGAACCCTTGGATCTTCATTTGCCAAATCTTCAGCAGCACTTCTGCCAAAGCCTGGCATAGCATGACAGGCCCCACAAGCAGGCCGTCATCGACGTACATGTCGAAAGTCCCGTGGAATGATTCAGGCTCTCCTTGCTTTCTGATGGCCCACACTCCAGACGACACTGGATCAAGGTAAAACATCACGCCCTCAGCACCCTCAAAGGTCTTGCCATCCAGCTCTTCGTTCCGACAAACCTCCCATAACTTAGGCCCTTTGCGCAATCCATACAGCAATCTGCGAAGCCTCCAAACCCTAGAAGGTCTTATTAGCCCTTCCCGGGATAGCACCTTTGGAGGCCTGACAAATGTTGTATCGTTGTCCATCTTGGCGTTGAGAAAGGCCGCCGTGATGTCAAGAACCAGCCCTGTCCAGCCCGGGTTGCTGGCAAGGCAAGCCGCGCTCCATCTGATGTGCTCGATGGCAGGGTTAGCGCTAGCATTGTCAGGATCGTGCCCAACCGTATTCTGCTCATAGTTCCCACACACCACGATCCTCGCCTTTGCCCTCCAGGCACTCAAAGGATCTGCTGGGTCCACTTCTGCATCATCCTGAAGAGGCTTTTTTGTCAAAACAACCTTCGCCGGCAACACCTTCGCTCCTGGAGGAAGGTCAGCTTCATCCCACTCATCATAGATCTCTTTAGCCTGAAGCGTCTCCAGCTCAGGCCTCAATCCCTCATTCACCCACTTCCACTTCTCGTCTGCAGGTGTTTTCGGGTCAGACAAAACCCTCGCATCGATCGTATCCGTAACAAGTTGGGCCACCTTGACTTCCGCTCGGTTCATCTCTTGCTCAACTTCATACGGCAGGATTTTGTAGCGATCAAGTTTGTCATCAGGCTTCGGTGTGGTCTTACGCTGAGCCTTGGGTGCCACATTCTGTGGCTCCTCCTCAAAGGCGGTCTGTATCTCCTCCTCAAGGGCCGTGGCGCGTGCCACAAACGGCAACCCTTGCTCCACATGATGTCCTTGCTCACGTTCTTCCACCGTCAGCATTCCCAGATCTACTCCAGGATCCCGGACCATCTCTCCATCCCGAATCTCCCCTGAAGAACTAACCCAGACCAAATCACCCAAAGGAGTAACATGTGTCTTCCATTGTTCAGGCTTCTTATCAATCACTGCCGGCAAACGCGTTATGATCAACTGCTCCTGGCCTGCCCTCGTAACCAACACCAACGCGCCCTGCACTGCCACATCCGACTGAGCAATGAAACGACCTTGTTCAACCCTGGGATCAAAAGGTCCTGCATCCTGAACAGTCACAGCAACACAGTCCCCTGGCTCGGGCAACTTCCCTTGGTGTGGACGGTGCAATGCTCCGTCTCTCTGTCGCCTTGCAGCTTCAGCCATCATCAGGGGCCAAAACTTCTTGTGCACATTTCCCCGAATGAGGAATCCCCGCGCACGCTCCTTCAACAAACCAACTGTTCTCTCTGCAAGCCCATTCGCCTGTGGATCGTAGCCCGTAGTCGTTGTCTTAAACACCCCCAAAGCATTAATTCCCTCAATCACCCGTTGTGCCAGGAACTCGCGCGCCTTATCCGAATGGATTCTTACTACTTGGGGCCGCTCACCACAAATCGCCGACACCTGTGCCAGGATACTCTGAAGAGCTGAAAACAACTCAGACCACAATCTTCGCTTCATCGGTCTCATGAAGTGCAGCTGCAGGTTGTCATCAATTCGAAACACAGCCACTAACGCGTACTTGGTTCCATCGTAGGCTGCAGCATACGGCCCTGCAATGTCTATTGACAGCACCCCTTTCGAAACCTGGTCAGCAGACACTCTCCTATGAGGACGGCGCAGCCCACGGACTTCAAAATCCTTCAAGGTATGTCCAGGCCGCTCGGGTGGGATCGTAAGATCTATCACCTCCTCGGCGATAGCTTCGAAAGCCATGGCCCTTCCTACAAGCAGACCCTCATCACCACCGGGGCATTGCACGCTACTCGTACCTAGACCCTGAACTCCAACATCCCAAAAGTCCTGAAAATTCTGCACCTCAGTCTTCATACCCTGAACATCACCACCTTCCGAAAGACCCTGGTTCAGCTCGGTTCGTGGGATCTCAAGAGTACTGTCTTCACTCTCTGCTTCTAGCCTGCTGCTGCCGTGGTGATCTGTTCCTGCTTCTAGCCTGCTGCTGCCGTGGTGCTCTGTTCCTGCTTCTGGCCTGCTGCTGCCGTGGTGCTCTGTTCCTGCTTCTAGCCTGCTGCTGCCGCGGTGATTTGTGTAGCTTGCTGTGCTGAGGCTGCTGCTTCCTGGGCTTGCACGCATCCGCTCATCTACGAATCCAAAACTGCGAAGTTCTCGTAGCAGATCATCCGATACATTCAAGTGTCCCCTTGGAGTGTAGCCCACGGCCACACCTCGAACACCCTGAAACGGTTCGGTGCCATGCATGCGAACCGCAGCATTGAATCGCACAGACTTGTGCGATAACTCATGCAGCTTGCCAGCCTTTATCTCGCCCTCATTGTTGACACACCGCAGCACGTTGTTTCCGTTCTCACCAGGAACCCCTTCAACCCAAAGTTGACCCCCTTGAAACCTAGTCAAGCCTAGAACCACTGACTCTCGCTCCAAGGAATTGCGATCACGATGAGGTCGAAACACCAAGTTGACTGCTATGCTGACAGACAAGAATTCCAGATCCGGGTGATGTTGACGAACTACCTTGCACAGGAGTCTCGTGAGCCAAGGGTGACGACGGGTTTCCGTGGTCAACCCTAGCACTCCCCCGTGGACAAACAATCCGAACGTCCATAACTGCAAAGTCTGATCCTCGCCAGCAACCTGCTTTGAACGGTCGGAGCGCCGTTCCACCAGACTCGCAAGCTGAACAGCACTCCACACTTCGTCGAAAGTAACTCTAGACTTCGAGCACAGCTCCTCTGCTCTGCTCTCACCAGGATCTGCAAGCAACTCCGCAGGAGCTGCCGCACTCTCCTCCTGAGCCTTTGCACTCTCGACAGCTTCAAGAGTCGGCATGTAATCAAGAATCCTAAGAGCTCGGTCTTCTATCTTCATTACCTGGGCATTCCCTTTGCTCTTCCAATCTCGAGCCAGCATCACCCGAATCGGTTTGAAATCTTCCCAAGAGATGTAAGGGAGGCCATTCTGTTCAAAGCAATGCACAGTCACAGTCGTGTCACCAGCAAAGTACAGCACCCTAGGCCCCAGCTCATCCCACAGAAATGCCCCTCTAATCCCACGTAATCTCCGAACACTCAAGATCCAGTCTGCATTCTGATCCAACTCTTCATCCCCAATCATAAGCTCACCGTCGCGAGTTCTCCATGCATCCACCGTGTCCCCAGACGCAAGCGCAACCTGGGTTCGCCTGCACCTATGGACGGCAAACCCTTCCGGTCGAGGCCTGATCACCTCGTTTGCGCCTGAATCCACTAAGACCCTTGGACCAAAACCCACCTTCGCAGCTACCGGACTCGACCCGTTTTGACTCTCTGCGGCACTTGCCCTACTGCCTGATCCCTGGGAGACAAATGCAGACGCCTTCCCTGAAGGGGACTTCGAGACTGGACTAGCCGCTTTCATTACGGGACCCTTCGGAACTGAGCTCGACGCTTTAGCCTTGGGAACTTCCGAAACTGAACTCGATGCCTTAGCCTTGGGAACTTCCGAAGCTGAACTCGATGCCTTAGCCTTGGGAACTTCCGAAGCTGAACTCGATGCCTTAGCCTTCGGGACTTCCGAAGCTGAACTCGATGCCTTAGCCTTGGGAACTTCCGAAGCTGAACTCGATGCCTTAGCCTTCGGGACTTCCGAAGCTGAACTCGGATACCCAGGAGGTGGTGGAACGCCTGGAGCCTTTGCAAACGGGGCCCCCTTCGCTCTTGCTCGCTGCTCCCTCTGATTCATGACTTCAGCTCCTGAAAACGGTAGTATCCGAGGTAACCCTTCCCGGGCCTCATCTAAGGTCCAGGTCTGCGTGCGAGGCTGAATGTCACACTCAGTAAGTGCTAGCATCTGTTCTCTCCCACTCTCAACATCAATTAAATGCACCAAAACCACCGGTCTAATGATCCCATCCTGATAGATGCACCAGGTCTGACGCGCTTCAATGATGTACTGATCTTGTCCAATCCTGATATCCTCCAGCGGCAGCTGAAAATCAAGCTCCTCAAGAATCCCCCAAACTCCATTTGCAATCAGGTTGGGACCGTTGACTTGTTCAAATGAAGCAATGGAATGGGTCATCAACTGAGTGGTGCTCTCCCTCCAGACAGCATACTCAACCGGATGCAACACCAAGTACCAAAGCGGGGGCCTGTTCTCGGACTGGTCACTCTCCTCAAGGTCTGTTGTTCCCGTAGAATGAACCGACCCAGCGCTCGAGAGGCTGGACTGCTCCGGATCACTTTCATCCCTATGCCTTTCATGGTTCGAGCTTACCTCCCGTGCAGCCATTGCAATCGCTCTGACCGTTGAAGCCCTGGGGCCCATGTCAACACCCAACAATCCCGCCGCTGCAGCCTTCGCTTCAGCCTTTGGTTTCGGCTTGGGTTTCGCTTCTGGTTTCGGCTTGGGTTTCGCTTCCGGCTTAGGCTTGGGTTTCGCTTCTGGTTTCGGGTTATGCTCAGGCTTCGCACCATCGGCAAACTTTCCGCTACCTTTTGAAGATCCCTTGTCTTTGCCTTTTCCCTTTCCCTTGCCTTTGCCCCCCTTCGGGGCATCATTATGCACAAAAGGGCAACTCGCACCCCTCCAACAGCCTCCTGGCTTTAAGTGGAAATAGCACTGACGCTCGTGACCCTTACTCTTTTCAGCCGCCTCTGCAGCCACAACGACCTCACTACTCTGGACAGCACGAGCATCCCTGATCTCCTGATCCGCCGCCAATCGCCGACACTCGACTTCAAGCAATGACACATACCGATCAAGACCTGTGCTCGTGGGAATCACCACATCAGGTTGCATCCGCAAGATGTTGATCCGCATGCCTAGCTGCTGATGCTTCTTCTCCAATGACCTCATCAGTCCATCCAGCGCCGCGATACCCTCGTTCGGGGCTTGCTCCGGGAGTCCCAGGCTCTGTGCTCTTTGCTTCGCAAGCTTCCACCTACGAAGAGTCATCATCGCCCCTTTGAAGTCTTGAGCGGCAGGGAGCTGCCGCATATACCTCTGAATGGACTCCAGCTCCTCTCGCCCCCCAGGCGCATACCTTTCATGCAAGCTTTCAAGCATCAAGATGCATCGAACGTTCTTCGACATTGACCCCTCAACCACCGGCTGGCGGACCGCCAACGGAAGATTTTTCAAGAGGGCCAGCGACAATCGAGTTTCCATCTCGGCCTCTGATACCAGAACTTCGGGTACTTGCTCCTCCAATCCGGTCAGCCGCTTTGCCTCATATCGCTGCCGCCCCTGATCATAGATCTTGTCGAAGTACTCCGCAAAGCTTGGATGAATTGCAGTCAAGACAGTCCTAGTTTCGACTCGCCACTGATGCACTGTCATTCCAACCTCCCATGGCTCTCCCCCCGCAGACAAGTCCAACTTAGGAGCATCCTTCAGTAACTTGAACGAAGGCTGAGGTATCTTCACTTCACCTCCCGGGCTAGCCTTCTTCATGCTCTCGGGTAATGGTGGTGGCCGAGCGCAGGGCCCTAGCCCAGGAGGAGCTCCATTTCCCAATGCATCCCACTGGAAGTATCCCCTCTCAACGCCATCTAGCCCCGTGTACTCCTTGGCACGATGCTCGCCCCACCACTCATCTTCATATCCTTCATCGTGGTATCCTGGGTTCTCAGGAGAAAGAACATGGCGCTCCACAGGAGGTACAACGCTGTCCGCATCATTACCTTCCGCAGCCCGCCGAATGCCTTGCTCCGGATCTATCTCCAACTCTTTCTGGATCGCCGCGTCTTTACTCCGCAGCTGGTCCACCAGCACCTCCAACCTGGTGACCCGGTCGACCACCCATCGAGTGGTCCTTAAGTCATCCTCGTACTTGGCCCTGACTCTAGCGGCTTCAGCGTTAGCCACATCCAGACTCTGCTTCAGCTGCTCAATCCTTTCTTCACTGCTCAACTGCTTAGCTGCTGTTTGCTCCAATGTTGTTGCTTGCTTCTCTAGCATGCTAACAAGGAGTTGTCTTTGCTCTCCAGCCGATTCACCCACCAGACCCTCGAGGTCACCGCGCAACCCAGCCTGTGCCGCCAGAAAGCTCTCAAGTCTCTCCTCTAAGGATATCGTCTTCTGCCAGGTCTCGGCCCGCTTACCTTTCATGCCTACTTCGAACTCTGCAAGGAGGGTCATCGTCCGCTCATGCTCCGAGGACAAAGAGGCAAGCCTACTTTGATTATGCGCATTGTCCTGTTGAAGAGCCTGCAACGCTTGATGCAGACTCTGAATATTTTCTCGGTCCTCTAATGTGCCACTCGCGGCTCTTTGGACACATTGTCCAAGCAGCTCGGAACGCCTCACCAGCTCATCGGCTAATGACTGCATACCCTGACGGATGTGATCAAGATCCGCCAGCTGGCCTAACTCCAGACTACGCAATGCTTGCAGTCGCGACACCATATCTGCAGGAAGTACCACTTGGGACAAACTCCTGAAGACAACCGATCCGTCCGCTGCAATGCCTGCTGTAGCTGCTGAAGCTGCCGCATGCTGTTCGTGCTGCATGTTTGCGGAGGTTTGCCCAAGGGGAGCCCTTGGGCTCATAACCTCTTGGTTACGAACCAAAGTTGGTGATGGTGTAGCGGTAACGACACTAAAATGCGAAGGGACGGGACTCGTGAGGCCTCGTCTGATCTGAAAGGGCACGTCATCTAGATGATCATAATCGCTCGCCATCTCCCGGGGCCTCTAGGCTCATCCGACAATCAAGTCACAAGCCCCAAAATCAAACCCCGTCATCTTTCTCACACCTTGAGCCATCGATACCGTGGCGTGTCATTCTTGCACAGGGGCCATGCACTCTGCACATCCCACGGCTCACCTGCATAGTCTAATCACTCCAACGACTGCACTGACTCGTGGCCATAGTACGTGTGGGTGCAGAGTGCTCTGTCGTGAAATCGATGGGAACTCCAGGGATTGACAATATGGGCGCATTTCATCATTCTGGGTGCGATTCTTCCGATGGGCATGGCAATCTTCCGTACATACCATACCACATTGCAGGTCATCAGCAGGCGAGGGCAGATCAAGAGAGTGGATTCAACCCATTGACTAATGCTTGCGCCTCAAACCCCGGATCACCAAAACGGGTGAACTGCAACTCACTAACATGAGGCCTTGTCTTTGCCAGTGGCTGTGTTCTGTTCCCCTGGCTCGTGCCCACCGGCTGCCTCAGCGCGTTCCAGGCAGGTCTCGACAACTGATATTGCGGGTCAGATGACTATTGATGATGTGAGGAATGTCGTGATCCCATCACACTCTGACGGCTGGAAATTCCTTGCTGTTGTTAAGTGGAGGCTGCGGGATATTGCAGAAGTAATTTCTCCGCTATATGATTATTGTTGTTTCGATGACAACCGTTGCCACGATTCCTTCCTAGCATGGATCACGGCATCCGGTGGTGTCTGACAAAACCGGTACAGTAATCTGGGGAAAGCGTCTTGCAGCTCCAGCGCAGCACAAGTAGAAGGCTCCCAAGCCCTTTCTTGAACCCTTAGCTCTGTCCGACCGGGAGCCTCATGTCGTGACCCCTATTCCCCTAACCTTAAACCGCAAATCTTCCGCTCTTAGCCCGAAGTGATTCCGCCATGCCACGTAAGCCTTCAGGAACCGGCGAGGCTGGGCAAGAATCTCCTGACGGATTATAAGGGCTACGCTTAGAGTTACTATGAATGAGTATCAGACTCACTATATTGAGCTCTGGTTTTTATTCCTGTTTGTGTGGAGAGAACCAAAAACACCCTTCCGCAGGACCCTTCCGCTTGCTTCCGTGCGCGAGGGTTTAGCTTCCGCGCGCCCCAACTTTCGTACAGCTTCCGCGGCTCCCTTCCGCAACGGTTGTTTCGCTGAGTTTGCGGGGTTTGCTTCCGCGAGTGCAGGCTTAAGTCTTGAGGAGGCTTGTTTGCTGGGGCAAACCACTCGTATAGCTTCAAACTCTAACAAAGGAGACACGCTTGAAATGTTGATGCACACTTGCATAAAGCGTGCGAAGACACAAGCAAGCACATCTGAAGTGTCTTATAGGTTACCGTGGGCTTCGGTTTCCAACTTCCAAGTCCGATAGCAAGCCGGGACTTCAGAAGAAGGAGCATAGGGCCGGCCTTTTTCCACGAAGCCTACAAAAATCTCGTTTTTTCCGACCCGTTGAAAGCTTTGACCAAGGCTTCTGTTCACCTTCCGCGGAGCTTCCGCGCACGTCCGCTATCATCCTGTAGATTTTAGAGCCGGTGATCACCATCAAGATCATGATAATGCTGAAGTGCTATTCCTTTTCGGCACATGACTTTACTCGTGAACATGTAAATGGAAATGGCAAGAACCTGATAACAAAAAGCCTGGTGGATCCTGGTGGTGATGTTGATAAGGAACATGCTTCTGGCAAGGATGGGTGGCTCTGAATCTTTCGGCTGAAAGGATTCAGATCTCCAGACCTACTCATACTCAAAGAAGCGTGAAAAAAACCACGGCTCATATGGGGTTACTGTCAGGCACGCGCAAAGAAGGCTTACTTTACGGATGATTAGGAGGATCAGCGTCGGCAGGGACCTCAATTTTCATCAAGTCCCCCGAAATGCTCGGACTGCTCTGCGAGCAAAGTCTGTCGGTCCCAGGTTCTGATCTGAGCCTTAACCTGGCCTTAACCCTCAGCCGCTGCCAGCCTACCATGTCGCTCGGAGGTGCGCTGGTAACCAGAAAACCAGCATGTAAGGTCTTTGTCTGCTGCCCTAGTAGCGGTGCATAGACACGCAAGCCCAGCAACACATGAATACAAAAGCACCGACAACTGTTATGAATCCAATTTACGACTCCCTGCAACCGAATTCAGCTCAAGGAGCCGAAGACGCAGTGGCCACATCCTTCTGAAATGCGTGCAGGGTCTGAAACAGCTGCCTTGGCCCACAGGTATCATCGTGACATTCCGACATCCCTGGCTTGGTTTTCCGCCCGCTTTCAGAAGACGAAGCCGGCCAATGTGTGCGCTGCATGCTGAGGGGCCTTTCTCTCGGACTCGAGCCCGGTTCTAGCGCCTTTGCCCTGGACTCTACGATGTGTTGGCGCATCAGCCGAAGCTTCTGAAACAAGCCGAACCACTCTGCGGCTGCTTCGAAGGTTGGCGCCTCAGCCTGCATAGATTGGCAACACAACGCATTCTGCACCCCATGAAACGGTAACAGCGCGCCCCCCTTAAATTGACAACGCTGCATGGCAAAGTAGCACTGAACATATCTGAACATGATAAGCAGTGTCCAGGGTCGAACAGCACCATGCCCACCTCAGCAAAGTAGCGAAGCGTGACGCCGAGGTCGATTCGGAGGGCGGCCCAGGCCTGGATGCAGAGCAGATTTACATGTGGGTGGCTTCCTACTGCCTGCATCAAGGTCCCCAGAATGAAAAGTGCCGCAACAATGCTCTGCCAAACCCCAGCTGAGCAATTTGATGGCTCCTGCTCATGGGATATTGGCATATGGGGACATGGTAAGCTGCACTCAAGCAACCTTCAGAAGCACCGAACCGCTGGACCAGCGGTTTAAACACAATCGAAGTGCAGCATCTAGCCTTGCATGTGGAGATTTCGAATCAATTCCAACATGTCGAGAGGTGCTTCATGTGTTCACTCTCCAAACGTCGAGACAAGATGGCATCCTCGAAATCTGGGGCAGGCGCGCTTTGAAGCTGTTGGCGGGCAGGAAGCACGACTTCCTGCATCAGCACAAGAATCAAGTTCGGTTCTCTCTGTGGCCTTCATTTCCTGCAAACAGCTTAACTTACGCTCGCACAAATCGAGACAATTTAAATTGGTGCTGCGACATCTGACTATGCTCATGCAGCTTACTTCAACAAATCAAAGCTGCCAGACAGCGGGAGTCAGAATCTGCTCTGACACTCGGCAAGAAGAGCAATTACCCGGATTTGCAGACTTGCAGTCCCTTCATCCTGGTGTATGGCCCGGAGCTTCGCGCGCACGGCTATGGAATTAGCCGAATCGTCTGCTTCTGCCAGGAGCCATGCCTGATTCGACTGCAAGACTGCAACTTGTAGACTCGATATAGCTCCATAGGTAGCCAGCCTCCTCTGCCGCGAACTGCTGAATGGCCTTCGAAACGTCAAGTGTGTAGTGAGCTATGCCAGCAAAACCACTTCAAAGAACTTGCGCAGCAGAAGACGAAACCCCCACTGGTGTGTCCCGACATGGCCCCATGCCGATGTGCATCGCCGCTGCATGTCACTCGATCCCCGAAGCCAAGCCTTGTCAAGGTCTGCCAGGTCCTCGCGAGCAGCAGGTTCCAAGGCCTCCAACTCCAAGGCGAAGCTGGAGCAGAGGCCCTGGAGCACGGCGACCTGCAGCCGCATTCGGTCCGACCCGGTCAAGCAAAGCAATCTGAGACCTTATACTCGCGGCACAGTATGTTGGAGATGCGTCAGAGTCAGAGGTTCGCTGAGTAAAACGAAATAATACGTAGTTACTTGAGGCTGATTGACATGCTCTGACATGAAGAACGACCAGCCTTTTCTGCATGTATTTCTTTCTTGAGTGCCATGGTCTCCCAGTCTCCAACCCGGACCTCACCGCCAGCCGCAGCCAGGAGGGCCATGTGCAACAGGGACACCGCCTGCAGAGAGATGTTTGAAATGATGGAAGCACTCCTCCTATGCACCATCCGGAGACCACCTTGTCCTTCCGCAGAGCCCGAAAAAGCCGCAGCTTTCCCAAAGCCGAAGACACAGCGAAGCCTTTCCTTGCTCGGCTATGACTCAAGAAGATCCAAGCACGGACATTCAACTCTTTCGTAGATGCCTATGCTAGCATGATGTAGCGAAAATAATCGTAAATTTGCGGTGGCCAGCTATCATTGTCTGTATTTTTGTACGGGCGTCGCTTCGGTTCAGGCATGCCCAGGAACAGTGCCAGCTGCTATCAAGGGTCTCCATCTCGGGATCGGAGGAGTTGATCCAACTTCCAAGCTTCGCCACCTCAGAAGAAGCAAGCGGGAAAATGTAAGTCGCCTCGCGTGTCTTCGCAAATGGAGCGTTTGAGGGCCGCCCCAGAAGAGAAGGCGCGAACCAAATGAATGCCTAAACCGCGCCAAGCCTCCTACATCAAAGCGCGGAGATGCCAGTCACATCCAGTCACCCTCTGCTTGAAGGCATCGCGTGGAAATAACGAAGAACCCTCCGACATGAAACCAAGAGCTACCCAGTGGCTATAGCACATGTGCCCACCAAGCAAAGCCCCAAACCTTCACATCAAACGCATAAAACATGTCTCTTCTTTCCCAACTCCGAATCCCAGGCACCGTGCGCAAGAAGCGCCTCAGAGCCAGAGATCCGCGGAGAGCATGACAGGCGGCACCCAGGGCGTCCAACCGCCCCTGAAAGGTGCGTGTATCGAGCGAAACGACTCGGGTTTAGGGTAGCACCGTGTTTTGGCTTCGGCACCACGTGGCGCATGACACTCCCAGGCTCCCGGGCCTGTAGCATCGCAGCATCACGCTCCGCATTTGCAGACAAGTGCAACGCCCGCACCCGCTGTCTGGCGCGGGGCAAGCGTGCCAGCGGCAAGACCAGCCTTGCGGGGGGCACATACAGTAATTATTGCGCCCCATGCCCATGGTCCACCAGCATGGAACTTGCCTACAATGGCAATCTTTCATAACCAGCGCTGGCAACGTTACAGTAGTACCAATCGGTGTATCCTCTGTCGGCAAGAGCAGGAAAGAGCAAAGCTCGAGGCCCTCAGGATAAAAGCAAAACCCCGTCAGGCAGACACACGCAGCTACGAGTATCCGAACGACCTTTAACGACGAAGCACAGTGGAGACCGACATGCAGCATGATGTAGACTTGATCCTAGAACTGCAGAGCAACTTGAAACTGGCCGCCTCTCGATGTTACGAAGGCGCTCCACAGGGTGTGAAAGCAGCTGGGCAGCCTGCAGTCACAGCCGGCGGAGGCTGTATTCACGACCCAGAAAGCAAAATCGCAGCTCATCTTCCCAACACGACCTCCACCGTGATCGCTCAACACTTACTGCTAGGGCCCTGAGCTGAGTGCTTTCTCGCATGTCAGCATTCGCGAACACTCGGCGCAAACATAGGTTTTTGCCCCTTTTGAGGTTGCCGTTTGTTCTGATTTTGCGTGCAACAGTTCGACAACGCTACAGGCTGATGCGAGCATTGACCAACGTCCAGGCGAGAAGCGGTCCTCGAGCTCAGAAAAACATCAAATATGAGTAGGATATCGTGCAGCAGGGCATCCCTGATTAATCCTCAGCCCGTATGAGCCCGTCAGGTCTAGTAGCGACGTAGTTCCAAAGTGGGACCGAGACTGGTGCACATGTCTTGGCCTCCTCCGCAGTTGGCATCGCCTTTGGCAGGGTTCCATGAATTCTAGGACGACATTACACCCACACCGCCTCTCGCAGAATGTGTAGATGTGTTTGAAGAGCTTGCGGCTGTCAGGCTGGCCAGTCGAAGAATACTACTGATGTCATCGACACCTCAAAGGTAGGCCTGGTTTTCATCTAGAATCTGGCCATGTGGCGGTTGGAAGCAATGATGTGCGCTCCGCGTCCAGGCAGTGTGCAACCTCTCACGCAGCCAGCTAACGGAAGTGACCCCTTCGGTTCACTCCGGGCGACGCACTGGGCGGGCGAAAAGGCGGCAGGTAGAATGGTATGCAGAGCTGAATGCGGTTTACGAGCTCCAGACTTGGGGACTCCGCGCAGCTTACCGCCAAAGATGAACAGAACCCTTCCCACCCATGAGAGGCCGGAGAACAGGTCCGGCCCTTGCGGCGTCTACAGCCTCGAGGCCCAGGGCCAGCGCCTCGGTCTCCTGACAACACATCCGGTCCGAGGCTCTGCCCGTGCTTGGGAGGGGGAATTCTTGAGATGGAAGCTCAAGGCGTTCAGCCGTTTCCATGGTCTGTTCCAAGGGCCTTGTGGAAAAGGAGAAACAACTGGAAGCAACACAAATTCCCAAGGCTGCCTGCGTGGTGGGCATCTGGCCAAAAATGCCGCGAAGCACGATGGCAATGTTCTGCGTGCGTGATGTCTCGAAGATGGTGATCGGTCCGTCGTCCTGCTCGCAAGAGCAGGCGTCTAGAGGCACTGCTCAAGACTTGACCGCCAAACAGCCACCCCCACCCCCACACCCACCCCCAC